CAAATTTTAATATCGACTCGAAATAATTTAAAAAGACAAATTACAATAAAACGGTTTATTATCTAACTATCAGAAATTTCCCAACATGCCAAGGAAGAGAGGAAGGAGCAATTAAATAATTAAAATTATAAAGGATTTAAAAATATATATATAAATGGGGAATATCGCGCTTTTGACAATCGCTGCAAGTGTGTGGGCTAAATTTGGAGAATCCGTGCTTCTCGCATGGACAACTGTATGTGGCCAGCTCACGCGTCGGAAAACCTTCCGAATTATTCGTGTACGCACCAGACGAAAAAACAAAAAATATCGTGTATCCACGAGCACTCCAATAAATAAATAGAATTGAAACGACACTTTGAAATGTTTTCCCGATGAAAACGAATAATAATAATATATTTCAATAAAAATGATAAAATGAAAATTTAATTTTATTATAACGAGTTTGCTTGAATTTCATCTCTTCTGAGATCGCAGCAATGCGCGACGGGTAAGCTAGTTTTTATATATATAGATAAGACAATTGTACTGCATTTTTAATTTTTCATTCAGTAAGTCTAAGATGAAGGTTTTCTCATTGATAAAACTCGTTTATATTAAATTAATGCGAGTGATAATGACAAGATAGGAGCAAGTACACATGGCAACCATAGTCGAATTTTGACTCTCAGCGCCATCACCGCTATCAGGCAAACTTAATTTTTAATATTAAGCTCATATAGTTTTGTTTTAATACACAAATTAATTAATAGATATTAATAATTACTTAGCAGGTGCTTCAAACTTTAAATTTGCCAGGATAATCTGTGCGAACTCATATCATTTATTAAATCCCCAACTTGTAACCCAGTGGATTAGTCGTGAGTTTGCACCTGACCAAAGGGCTGGAGTTTTTAAATTTTCTTCACGTGTCCAACGCCTAAATAGGGGTCACTTTCCCGTAGAAAGTCCTCCTTTGGTAGATCGCCCTTGCATTGCATTGCCCTTATGCCATCAATCCAATCAAATACACACGCACACATTTCAATTTCTAATCTTTATCTTTTAGAAATGATAATGTCATGCATTCCAATTAAATCTAATAATATAAATTAAAATAAAAACTAACGATTATTCAAATTTTTCAGATTGTCCAAGGGAAACATTAAACAATCAAACTCACAGACTAATGGTAGTTACAATTACAAAATACTGGATCTGTGCGACGAAACAGAACTGGCGATTGAATGGTTTATGCCATTTCCAATTAAACGCCATCCTCATCTAAAAGCGTCGATAAATTCCCAAAAATTAGTCAAAATTCCAATCGACATACGAGTAAAAAATGATACCGCGAAAGTTTTCAACAGTATTTGTGTCCATGAGCATTACACAATTTCGGATCCGCTTCCGATATTGAAAGAGTCAACATCATCAGAATTAGATTACTTGCAACGTGTAGAAAACATAAACAATACATTAAATGACGTAGAAAATTCTGACGAGTATCGTGAAATTAATATAATAAAAAATGACAATTTGGAATTCTTGGATCATAAGAATAATGAAATGCAAGGAATGAAAGAAGTAGAGGTCCTCCTTCCTTTGAAGATTGAATCCAAATTACAAAAAGAAATGAATCATAATGGATTTTTAAGAGATAATTCTACGCGAATCATTTTAAATTCTGTGTCCGGAAGTGTATTAGAAAGGAATGAGCTTAATAAACTTTCAAGGAAATCAGTAAGTGTTCTTTGGTGTAATTTTCATTGTAAAAAATGATGAGAGACGTCCGAAATGCAAATTGTTGCATTCTGATACGTTCGATTTATGATGTAAACAGGAACATTTCTGACAAAAATATACAGGATGGGAAAGAAATCACTTAATACCCCTGCTACAGAATATAGAATGTACCCAAAGTTAATTCGCTCATGTCAGGACCAAGGGGAAAACAGATTGATGTGTTACATGCATTTGCATCCAATATGGCCTTCATATTGAATGCAACTCCGAAACTATAAATGGGAAGGGGGTCATGTGACATATCATTTAGTGTCAGAATTTCACAAGGAATTGATTGTTGAAACATTTTATTGGCCTACCTCAAACGGTTACAGAGTTATGCACATTACATGATGTGCTCAATGTACATTCTTTTGGTACAGTACATTTTATATTCTGTAACGGGGGTATTAAGTGGCTTTTTTCCTACCCTGTATAATATACATAGAAAAAAGATTTTAATCCTGAACATTTTACTTAATATGATTCAAAAGTAAAAGGTAAATTAGTAATGAAATAAGAATGAGCCATTCTTAACGACGAAATGGCACGTACTCGAGTAGGAACAATCGAATGTTCGTTTATTATTATTTTACAATTTAAATTAAAAGTAGGATAAGTAATTATGTTATTTAATCTCTCTGCCCTGTGAGCTCTAGCAGCGCCTTTACTATACCTATTGTGGGTTTAAACCAGTTTCACAATAGGTCCTGAAATATCCTCAATAAACACGAAAATTTCCTGAGTTTGCTCACCCGAATTTGATCTCGAATACCCAGAGCGGTATACTAAAGCCTTAACTGTCTAATTGAATAGGAAATGTGTGGTTACTTTAATATTGATTATACAGTATAATTATTTTAGAAAATCACAATATCTTTCTTCTTCTTAGTCGCCATGTTTAATAAAGTGACGTCAACACTTCGCTACATCTTATAGGCTCCATTATAAGCATACTACTACTCCAATTGGATACGGTTATAACATTTGTTTTATGACTGGAGACTTATAACGTTATCACGAAGCGCAAACTCGCTACAGTATATACATTATACAGTATATTATACTGTACTGTACAGTAAACAATAACGAATTTCTCATCAAGATTAAGTTCGAAGCGATTGTTTACGGTAAAGGGAACTTCATACTTGTCCTTTTCTCGCGTATACAAGATGAATTAATGATCAATTGGCTCATTTTTGGATTACTTTTTTCTTTTATATAAATAGAAAAATAATTAAATACAGAAGTTAAAATAATATATTTTATATTTTCAGAATCAGTTATCATCGAATAACGAAAACTCGTACAATACAGATTATTATAAAATAGATAATCTGTCACAATCAAGATCATTAAATAATACTAAACAAGAGCAGTAAATATTTGAATAAAATGCATATCTCTTGTAAGCAATAATGGAATTTTTTCTTTAAATTGCTGAAAAACGAATGGTTATAAAAAATAAAAATGAGTTGAAATTAAAAAAAAAAAAAACTTGCTGTAGAGTATGCGGAGGATTCGACCGGCATGGACGAGGGGTCGTTCCCATCCTTCACTCATAATAATGGTGTTCTAGCTTGCCCGTAATGGCTCCTATCTACATTATAAATGTACTCTTATCATGGCCTTTAAAAATTGAAATATACTAATACAATAATGTACCAAATTTCTACAAAAATATGATTACTGTAGTTTTCTTGTATAACATTGGCTGGTTTGGGTCACGGACGGCCCTGCGCAGTGGAACCAATCAATGAATTTGACTGGGAAAATATAGTCTACAATGGCAATAGTCCGGATTCGTCACAGTATGATCATCACTTGATTGGTCTTTGGAACCTTTAGACAGATTCATACAGAATGCTGAAGTTAGAATTCATCATGCAGCTGACACTAGCCAAAATACAGTAGAGCGTCGTTTATCCGAAAGCATTCCAGTCGGCAAATTTAAATTTTTGCTAGTGCTGTGGCGCTGCAATCTTTGGCTATATCTTGGGCTACTCCAATATTTTTTTTTTGTTGATGTGTGTGTTTTAGCTGGCAGCACTGGCACTTTTGTATGGTTTTTCTGAGGACTGTTCGTCCTGCTGAATCGAACGTTTTTGATACTAGATCATCTTCTAAACTATATATTTTTTGGTTTTTATATTTTTCAATATATTTATTTTTGTTTGTAAGAAATAAAGAAATAATTTTTAACGATACAATAGCCACGGTTATTATTTTAAAAAGCATACGTTAGGCTTAACATCGACGAAAATTCAACGCGAAGCGACACGAAACGGAGAAAAATTTCAACACGGGATAGGTTAATATATTTTTTCGTGCATAATCGGTTATCCGAACGACCTGTCCCCAATTTATTCGGATAAACGACGCTCTACTGTATTTCTATCTTGTAGACTATGTAACACCTACTTCTATTGCCATTATTAAACTTCCAGAGAGAAGTCGAACCATTCTACGAGGGGTTTCAAGAAGTTTGACCATAAAGTCCTTGAGCCGGTTAAATGATTTGTATTCCCTTCCACGTTCTACATAAATCATTAATTTCCCTCGTGTTTAGAATATTACAATCAACGATATTTTACTGACAATTAGAAATTATTGCTAATTGCTTTTGTCTTCAACTGTTGGGTGACAACAAAAATATGTTTTTCATAATGCCCCGAAGTTTATCATCTGGTATTAATTCTGGATTTGGAGGAAGATGCATCATATTGGTCCACACACAAACCATTATCCACTAAATTCGTTGTAGAGAGCTTTTAACTGAGTGATTCAGGATGTCTTATATATAGGAACTTTAAGGGCACATTAAATTTGAACATTAATGAACCTATTTTTCAACTAATAACTCAATGATAATCATGTTTTTATTAGATTGCTAAATGCTTTCTTTTAATAAATCATTTTTGTCATTATCCATTATTTTCAAGTTATTTTGATTAGTTTCCTAATCTTTTGATTGCTACAAATGATTTCTCCGTTTTATAGCACACACACACTGTACAAAGATTCCAAGATCCAGGAATAAATATATTTTAGTTCTGCGTAGGATATAAACTTATTTTTCAGTACTATGTTGATTACTCAACAAATTCCTGAGAACATTTAAAAAAATCTTTAACTTTACTCATAGGAGTTAATTTAATTCTAAAATAAAGCAAGATATTCCATAGAAAATAAACCACTGAATGGAAATTTTAACATGCCAAATATTCAGTTTGGATATTATATAACCAGGGTGTCCAAGCTCCTTGATAGTCCGAGCCTTTTTCAAAATTTGAAATTTTTCGCGAGCTGCAATTAAATACGTATTAAAAAGGTATGCAAAAAATTCCAGAATACAAATTATATCCGTAGCAAGAGTGATACAAATTGTTTCCTCCAGAGCACAATGTCAACTGTCCTTTGCAATGACAGTTTACAAATTCAAAATCGGTCTGGAATCGGTCGATAACGGACGATTACGCCACCGTTTATGTTCATTCACGCAGTTTTCGATGAGTCATATCATTCTTAACTTGGACGGAAATGAAATTTGTTACAACGTTGCACTTAGTCTTTCATATTTGTCGCTAACAATTTAAAAGACATTTTGAAACACATACGGAACGATAATATTTTTTAAAAATATAATAACACAAAAATGAAAAGGGAACTCGGGTACATCTATTGAAAGCCACAAATAATCCCTCAAAGAGCCGCAGGTTGGCCACCCCTGTTATATAACATTTAACACATTACCAAACAACATAGGTTCAAATTCACAAACAAAAATATCACTTTTCTGTCTGAATATTACCATTTGTTCCAGACTGAACTTACCCAAATGCCAAGCATTTGGGTAAGTTCAGTCTGGAACAAATGGTACTAACCTTTGATGTAGAATTATCAAAATTTTTTCCTATTTAAAGAATTATTTGTGATGTTTTCATTTCTAAGAAAAATAATAAATTATCTGGGTCTTGTAATCTTTCGAGTGAAACTGCAGTTTATATACTAGGACACGGGTTCCCAACCTATGGGTCGCGACGGGTTTTCTGTGGGGTCGCCAACTTATACAGTAAACTAAAAAAAATATTCACTATAATGCAACTTTTATTTTTAATGGTGTCTTGAAGTTTGAATAATTTCATATATTTTTTTTAAAATTAAAATAAGTATAATCTAGGTACGCTATTCTGTCACAGTTGGTTGAAACATGTGTTGAGAGTTTGAGAGGAATAAATTAAATGTTAAGAATAACATGAGGTTGGATAGCCGATCGGTCAAGGTGGCAACCCACCGCTCTGGGGGACCAGGGTTCGAATCCGAACGGGTCGAAAAATTCCCAGGAATTCTTTGGGGGGTGGTCTGTTCAGAT